TTTTTAAGTGGATTGTCTTTTTATTGGTGAGTTATGAGAGTTTTTTACATATTCTGGATAAAAGTCCCTTATCAGATATATGATTCCCAAATATTTTCTCCCATTTTGTGGGTTGTCTTTTTACTATCTTGACCATGTCCTTTGATGCACAAAACATTTTAATTTTGATGAGTCCAATTTACCTATTTTTTCTCTTATTGCTTGTTTTTTGGTGTTGTATTTAAGAAATCATTGACTTATCCAAGATCACAAAGATTTACTCTATATTTTCTTATAAGAGTTCCATAGTTTTAGCTCTTTGATCCATTTTTTGCACTTCATTCTTTTGCATGTGGATATCTAGTTGTTCCCAGCTCCATTAGTTGAAAACACTGTTCTTTCCCTATCGAACAGTCTTGGCATCTTTGTTGAATGGGACGTATCTTACAATTGTAACTGGTTATATTTTTCTATAACGTCTCTTAGAATTTATGGCATCTTAGATTCAATAAAGCACAGAACACAACTTCTGAAATAAAAGCCTATATAAATGTGCATTTTCCTTTTTTTTGGAAATAAAAAATTAATTTCCCTCAACAATATTAAGAATCCTTGAATATCAACGTGATGAGAAAAAAAGCTGTCATAAATACATACTTTTTCTTACGAAAGATATTAGTTTAAGGCTTGAAGGCTTACACACAATCTCTCGTTAAAAGCGAACAAAGACTGTCATAAAAGTAGCAATATGTCTATAGCGATCATGAAGAAAATCCATTAATTCTACAAGCCAGGTTAAATTCTCCTGTATGTTAGATTTGACAGTGATGTAATGTTACAAGAAGTAGTAATATAAACACCAATGGAATTTATTTAATTAAAAAACTAAGGAGATTTTCAGAATCTACATTTAAATATGTATTGTGCAGAATATAAAACAATAATAAAGTCAACTGTTTGGGATTAACTAGGAAGTTTGAGAAATGCAAAAATCAAGCATACTTTTGTATCAACTCCCTACTGAATGTCCAGATGAACACCGTGACAACTACGTTTGAGAAAAGAACTCACAAACATACTGAGATCCATTTAATAGTTTTTGAAGATTTTCCCTGTAAAATGGCTTGTATTTCCACAGATACAATAGTGAAGAAATAAACTTTTCAATTTGACATGAAATATAAAAGAACAGTTTTACAAATATATTCATAAAATTTACTGCTCATAACACTATACATGGTAAATATGACCACCCCCTTAACTTATAGACTATTTAATACAGAGAAGCACTCTGTCATCTCAGCTGAAAAGAAAACAGACTTCCCTTTCCAGTTGTTTAGAAACAGTTAAATAGAACTGGAAAAATATTTGTTTTTCCCCCATCTTCCTCTAGGGATTCTTCACGAGGAGGAAAACTGACTTGAGAGGAAATAAGTTTTACTAAAAAGAAATACTGAAACTTCTTTTGTTTTACTGCTTCAGTAATGCTTACATTCCTTTAACAGATCCTGGAGCACCTCACCGGCCTTTGCCTGGGTCATAAAGAAATGATAACAGAGCTGCGGTCTGCGTCCAGCACTGAAGGAGGACCTTCACCCCCGCAGCCCAGGAAGGCTGATCAACCCGGGGACAGGAGATCGACAGCCAAGGGAACGGAGCTGGATCTGCCTTAAAATCAAGGTTCTGTGGTTTGTCTACCAGAAATTCCACTGTTACGAGGCAGGATTGCATGAAGGTAACTAGTTTGTAGCCAGCATTAACAATGGTGTGATCATACATCCTTTCATGCAAATCCAAAGAACAGAATGGCTTTAAAAAAGAAAAGAAGTTGATCAAAATCATAGAACTGCAGGTAACAATTCTGTAACCTGTGTTACACTTCAAGGAGAAAACGTGCTCCTCTTAAACTCTCAAAAGTGCCCAAATAACAATACTGAGCTCCCAAATAACAGGAGTTTTTTTTTTTGTAAGCAAAAATAAAGCATTGAAGCTTTATGAAGAGTTCTCCTCAACTTTCCTAATACAGTATATGTAATAACTTAAAATAATTTCCCTATTATTACTGGAAATAAATTCTACTACAATCACGTGTATGCCATTTCCTGGCATATTTCTGCATCCAGGTTCATTAGTCTCCTTAATGGAGCCCATCATTTTTCCAATGGCTTTCTCCTTTCTTTAAACCCTAACCCTGAAATTCTATAACCAGCTATATCACGTGGCTTCCCTGAGGCACAAAGGTACCAAACTCTATAATTACTACTGAGGAATGATAAATATGCTATTTATATTAAAAGCTTTTAATTCTTTTGGGCCATAGTTGGGGGGGGGGGGACAACCCAGAAAACCTAATACTTACTCTGTAGTGTGAACTGTAGCCCTTTTTGCAAAAAGCAGAACCAAATAAGGGAAATGTTAAGAGTTGCAGCATGCATGACCCAGCAGCACCGAATATTAATAATAAAAAAATTCCAGACTAGAAAAATATTCAGAGTTGTATCCCATCCACTCTGAATCATTTTTTTTCTGTAGTAAACTGACGTAAACAACTGAAAAAAATAATATCTATGGGAATACATCACTGGGGCCTTACTTCTGGAAACCTATTCACAAAAGGCATTTTGGTCAGGCCACGATCAGCGTAACTGGTCGGCATCTTCCTATGTACACCCCTGGGGGAGTGGGACGCACCCTGTAATGGGATGGCAAGCAAGACATAAAAACAGAAGTGACCTTTAGAAGTTACCTTTTCTGAACTTATTACTCTATTTTGGTGAGCTCGAGTTCTTTATTCTCACAAACTAAATTGCTCTCAACTCTGAAAAAGAAATCTCATTAGCCAAAATTATAAGGAGATCTTACTAGAAGTGGCCAAGGTGAGCGTGGTTTCCTTTTTGCAGACTTGCCACCTCTCTGTGGCTCCTTAGGCAGGGCGGGAGGGACCTCACCTGGAAGTCAAATAACAAGATGTGGCGTGGATAGAGGGCGGTTCACTGTTACCCCTTCCAAGAGCTTGGAATTTTATTACCCAAATTTCAACTTACACTTAGCTATCTGAGTTTACTAAAAGTCAGAAACTTTTCAGGTTGGAAGATAACTTTATTTTTGGGCATATTTTGCATGCAGAATTACTAGATTTATGTATAGTTCTTGAAATGGAAGATTATATCAGAGCATAACTTTCTGGAAAAAAATTTTTTTGATAGGTAAAATCCAGCCATTCTGTATGCAAGACCCTTTACCTTACAGGATGTTTTTAGGGTATCAAGATTCCTCAAACCACCTTCTACCCATATAGCAAGAAAAGGGACCGTGTGCCTCCTTTATCATTTTGTGGAGCCCAAAGAATCATAAGTGAAAAGACACACTCTATCAGTGAAAGCCAATCATTGGAGTCTCTGGCTAAATCACAGCCATTCGATATATTACTCTAGGCAATTCCATTTTTCTCTTTCATTTTTTGTCTGCAGGTAGAGTAAGCTATACAAGTTGAGTAAGCTATCGATAAGAGGGCTGTTGTTGGATTTTCACACCACTTAAAAATTACCAAAACAAAAACGCCTCATCCTAAACAATTCTCTCCACTAAAAAGTAAAGCTATTTTAAAACTGAGAGGCTGAACTTCTTATATATAAACTCAAATTAAGCAGCAGTATTCCAGAGTAATACATCTTACTACTTTAAGGAAATGGACATTCAAAATGGGTTATAACAATTGCAAACAGGCAAAATATTTGCCAGTAGGCAAAACATGGATATACCAATTCAAGTATGGATCTAGTATATTAGAATCATATAAATTATATATGTTTACAAAGGTTAAAAAAGTGTAGCACGAATCTGCAATGGTCAATTTACGAGGATGTTAGCTTAGATAAATACTTGCTGCATGTGGCAGGAATCTATGTCAGCTGAGCCAGCTCTGTCAGTCTCAAGTCCAAGGATCCTGACACTCTGGGAGCAGTGACACTACTGGTACCCAGCAGAGAAAGAGCATCCAAGAATTATTATTCAAAATGAAACGAAACTAACAGAGAGGGATGGCAAAGCTCATATGAAATTCTGATTTAATTATTCCTCAGTAAACACTCATTTGCTCTCTTGAAATCAGGAATTTCAAATTATATCTGCAGATGTACCACTTGGCGTTGTGTATATCTAATGATCACATTTAAATTTAGTTTGATTTGCAAACATTTTCAAAACTTGCAGGGCTCCATAAGCTGCACAGGAAGGTGACAGATGGCAGAAAGGGAGTAACAAAAACCACTCTATCATTGTGATATGTTGCTTTTAGGCTCACAGAATTTTGGCTTTCTTAAGGAAGAAAAAAAAACTTATGAAAACCCAACAAGTGGTTTTAAAAAGTAAAATCTTATTTTTAATCACTCTTTCTTACACAACTCACTAAGCAAATAAACTTGATATTATGTACCTAGGCCATGTTTACTGCTGCAATAATCACCCTCAGTTAAAGAATTTTTAAAAGTTGCTGCATTTTAATCAACCAAACAGTTCTGGCTATCTATGCAAGATGAGTATCAGGGACAGACCATATCAGGCAGAAAGGCAGACTAAAAAACTACGGAAAATTCTCTGTTTGAAATGCCAAGGTATTCAATGAATGTGTGTATAAAGTAATTAAATTCCACCGAAGTTAAAAAAAGAAAACATGACAACATAAGAATATTCTCTCTCCAAAAAAGAAAAATAAATCAGAAAAAAGCCCCAGATTTCAAAACCACCACTTGTGCCTAAAGGTCTCCTGTCCACCACCAACATTTTGTGGAGCCCCTTTGGTATCGGTCAGATTCTAGCCTGTATCAAGTATTTCCAGACACCGAGTGTCTTCCTCTCAACACCCACACCATGCAGCAAGGAAGGGTGCACATTAAGAGCCAACAACTTTTGAATAAATTTCTTCTACATTTGTAAAATATGATTTAAAGTCTTGTCCAAGTCTACAAAGGAAAAGACTTGTTTAAAAACCCAAGGTTAAAATAAAAGCATGGCATTTTAAATCCAATTATTACAAAGATAGTATGGTTTAATCAAGCAGACTTCAATGACGATGCCACTGTTTGGAGCATGCAACACACCACTGGTATCTGTTAAATTCCTGGCATGTTTCATCATCGTGTCCCCTCTTTTTTCCCAGCCTCAGGTTCCCCTCCCCTTAATAAACAGCATTATAAAAAGGTAAAATCTAGAGTTAGTGGTAAAATCTTCACAGTAACCTGTTAATAAAGTCATAAACGGCTGTCAAGGGCATCAGTCAACTGGACCTTGGAAAATTAATTTGATGCAGTTCTGTTCCCCAGCCAGCTGTGTGGCACAGAAAGGGCAGGCAGCGTGAAATGCGTGAGTTCCATGAGGCAGCGGAATCTGAGACCAGTATTTTGCAGACTTCTCCGAGCACACATGTCCACAAGGGGTGAACGCGTGAGTTGGAGGTCCTGCGTCTACGTAAAACCCGGCCTCGCAGCCGAGCCAGAGAGGGACGTAGGGGCCCACAGTCCTGCACATGGGACACTCCCTCTCGTTGGCCTCCGTGTCGCTCCGGTGGCCCCAGTTGTGGTGGCCGTGCACGTGGCCGCAGCTGAGGTAGGCCCAGGGCTGCTTTTCCTCTACCACCTCCTTCCTGCTGATGCTGGGGAAGGCCAGGGTGTTGAGCCCCACGGGGCACTGCGGCCGGGCGGCGTTGATCTCCTGCCGCAGGGCTTCTATGTGTTTCTGAGTTGGGGCCTGAAAGAGGCCGTCTGCCGTTCTCCAGAGGAGCGTGGCCCCGCACAGGTCGATGAGGGAGCCGTCCTGCAGGACGTTGGTCTCACTTTCCACCTACAACAAGTTTGATAAATATGCCTTAACAGCAAAATTCAGCAAATCACTCTAACATCCTTTCCTCTCGAGATAAACAAAAGCCGTCTTTGAAGTAAACACAGGGAGGCAGTTTATCTCACTACAAACAGGTCTGGGGAATAACTCATCCTCCCTGAGCCTCAGTGTCCTCATCTGGACGTGGCATATAACACACACAGGCCACATGCACAACCTAAGCACAACACACAAGCTTCACGTGTGTAATTAATGCAGTGGTTACTTTAACGAACACAAATCTCCTCACGTTTTTTTTTTCCTCCTTAAGTCAATAACACAATTACTCTTTGATCTCATAACAGATAGTAGAGGTCCTACCAGTCCATCCAGGGAAGGCTCATACCCATCTCGACCAGAGCCAATCCAGTACTGCAGTGGTCCAAACGACTGCTGGGGACCCTGAGCTTCAGACAATCTATCTTTTATCCTGCACTCCTAAGGTCTGGAGCAGAGTGCTCACCGTGAGCCCTCATATTCAAAAGGACAGCTGTGCTCTGACCAGGTGCTGACGAGACTGAGGAACGCTGACAAGCAGCGCAGTCAGACAGGGTCAGCATGTGCTCTGAGCCCTTGGGGCAACAAGACCAACGAAACCTCTCCCCACCCCGAGAGCCTCGTTCTTTAGAGTGGGAGGCAGACGTGCTCGAGGTGGCAGCCAGTGATGGTCACAGAGAGCTGTAAGTGCTGTGCGAGGCCATGTCACCACAGCGGCTGAGAGCACGGACTCCGGAGCCAACTGCTGGGGTTGGATCCTGGCTCCATCACTGACTAGCTCTGTGACCTCGGGCAGTTACTTAAGCTCCCTGTGCCTCAGATTCCCCATCTACAAAATGCAGATAGGGGGATTGCGAGGGTTAAATAAGTTAATACAAATAAAGTTCTTAGAACAATAGCTGGCAAGCAGTAAGCACTATGTAAGCATTTGCTACTGTTACTCTGATGATGATAGAAGGTCAAGAAATGGTTTTCAAAAGGGTTTTCCTTGAACGGAGATTTGAAAAAGATGCTGTCAGGAGTCAGTGGGTGCGAGATAAGAGAGCAGAAAGAGGCACGGAAAGGCCACACAGCACGAGCATCGAGGGAACAACACGGGGTGTAACTAGGCTCAACAGACAGCTGAATGGAGCTGGAGGGAGCACAGGGCGTGCTGGGGCGGGACACCATACCCGGGCTGGAGAGGTCAGCCGGCCTCCTATGCCCCACGGTGGTCAATACAGAGTTCTAGGCAGCTATAAAAGAACAGATCTGCCCTTCCCAAAGGTCCCTTCTAGAAGCGTGGAGGATGGACTGGATGGGTACAAGACTAGAAGTGGGGAGACAGTGGGAGCTCCCTTTCCAGGCAAAGAGGGCGGGGTCATCTCCACAAAGAGAATGTCAGTGGCAACAGAAAGAGGCACAGCTATCAAACATTGAGGAGTTAGATGCAACAGCCCTTAGCTCTGCATTTAGGAAGAAAAACTTTTACATTTCTGCTTTACTGTCTAGGTAGAATGTGGCTTTCCACGGACAGGGAATCTAGAAGAAATGACAGATTCTGGGGAAAAGACAGTAACTTCAGTTTTGGGAGTGTGGAGTCTGAGGGCCATGCAGAGTGCCTGCCGCGGGATGCGTAAGAGCCTCGTGCACTGCAGCGTGGGACACAGCTGGCTTGGGAAAGCACATCTGGATTTATCAGCATCTGGGAGAAGCCCCAGGAGCGAATGACACTGCACAGGCAGGGTCCTTAGGAGTCAGAGAGGACCAAGGACAGAGGCAGGGGCATCCCACCGAGGCTGGGGCAGAGGCAAAGAACCATATAAAGGGAGAGACAGGTACGGGAAGAACAGAAATTTTGTCGTTCTCTGACTCCAAGGGCTTTGCTGGCTCTCCACTGCCCTCAGGATGAAGCCCAAACTTCTTGACAAGCTTCAAGCATCATCTGCGGTGCGGCCGCCCCACTCCCTCCTGCAGGTGCAGCTCCGGCCTCTGTTACGGTGACCCAGGGCTGCCCCGGCAGCGGCGCAGAGTTCCAGTCTATGAATGCGTTCAGTTTGACTGCCCCCAGGCACGTGCATGAGCGACCTCAGCCTAGAATTCTCCATCACAGCACAGCCCACCCCCTGAGCAAACTCCTGCTCATCATCCAGGTCTCACTTGGACGTCACTTTGCCCTGAAGATTTGTCTGATGAAAAAAGAAGCCCCTCCCTAATAAGACAGTACCAAATATTAGTAGTTAGAAAAAGTTCAAGTCCCAACTAAAAGACAAGTCTTAATACCGTACAGGACGAACATGGTGACCCCTTTCAAATAAGCTTTTGTAAGCCTGCTGAAGCTCCCCATGCCCCAGCATGCCCCATGGTCTCCTCCCCTCTCCCTGTGCTCAGGAGCTCCCTTCCAGTGCTGACCACAGGGCATTCTCAGAGGAGCTCTCATCTCGGCACAGAACTGTGTCTGAGAGAATAATCCTGATGTGGTGAGAACCTGGGTTTGGTAGGGCCACGCTGCTGAACACCCCTTCTTTCCTCCTGCAAGGCAGTTCTTGGTAAACAATAACACCTTATCACAAATTTTGAGTCTATGGTCTTTTATTTTCCACATATTCTTGACCCCCATGTCTAAGATAGGTGTCCCTCCAAGGGACTCCTGTACCTTCTGGTACTTTCTCTATGACTGTGGTCAACACACAATATCCTAATGATTTGTTGCCTCGTCTGTGACCTTTTCCAGACGACATGGTTCCAGGGCAGAGCCATGGGCATCCTGTTCACTGCCGGAGCCCCAGCTCCCAGCCCTGGCTCCGTCGTAACAACTAACCAACTATGGACTGTTGCTGTGGACAGCACGGCTCCATCCTTACTTAGTTCCCACAACAATCCTATAAAACACGCACTAGTATTATTCCAATTAAACAGATGTGAAGCTAGGCAGAGAGAGAGCAAGTTACTGATTCAAGGCCACAGAGCTACTAAGTCGTGGCACCAGGACTTGGGCCTCCGGCCTGACTTCAGAACCATCCATATACAGTGGTGCTCAAAGAGCAGCCTGTTTTCCCTCGTAACTGTATTTCTTATGTGCTATCTCTATCTGTGCAGTTTTTCTCCAGAATACAGTGTGTGAGAGGCACCATGGTGAAGATACCACTGTGTAGAGGCAAGGGTTTAGATTTTACTTTTTAAATTATACCAAAAAAAAAAAAAGGTAAGGAGAAGGCACCAGGAAGGGACAGTGTTGTGGAAGAGACAGTGAAACAGAAGGGCCCTACACATCAGACAGCTGAGTGTCGCGGAGAGAATTAAACCCCACCCACCGTGCACACGCAGGTGACTTCACCTTGCATAACGCCCCGGCTTCCTCACCTGTGAGTGGCAGCAGCGTCCACGCCGCCTCACAGGGCTGCTTGAGTAACGCCCGGGCGGGAAGGAATGGCAAGCACCTGGCGGAGCCTGCACGCAGCAACACTATGCCTGCTTTTGTCATCTCACTGAGATAGGCAAGCAAATCAACTTCACTGAATTTACTTAATGTTAGACAAAGCCAATATAGTTTAATAGAACACCTCAAATATAATTTGATAAAATACTCAAGCGTCTACTAGAGCAATATCATAAATGTTACTGATATTATCATCAACTAGGTAAAGGAATAGGACACAAAATCCATCCACCCACTTATTTACTCAGGGGGTTAGGCTCCTGAAAAGACATTTCTCCCACATTTACTTCATTATGTTAATCAAGTACAAAGCACCAAGGTTCCCTAATTTGCTGTAATGATGAAAAAACACGGTGATTTGTTGTTAAAAACACATTAGTGTTCTGATTCACATGAAATGCTGAGTGTGGGACTGATCCAGAACCCTCTACCAGCACTGGCTCCACACTGAGGACAGAGGCGTCTACCACGGTCATGACAAACCACTTCTGGACTGCAAGTGGATCACTTGATTCTCCATATTCTTATACTAAATTGCAATGAAGACTACTGCCAGAGACTGTTTCCAAAGTCTAATCTCCAGATACACATAATTGATATCAAATGCTACCAGCAACTGCACAGGACCAAAGAGTCACACGCTGAAACAGAAACACAAAGAATCAGTAGGTTTTCATCTAGGACAGAGGCCAACTGTCCTCCAGGTTAACAAGAGGGGACTGCAGGGAGGACGGGTCCCTTCGTCCCCACAGCATCATTTCCTACAAGCCCGAGATCACACTGACGGAAACCCGGAGCCCTTCGTCACTGGCTGGGTCAGTCAGACACTATCAAACAGTACAGCACAGCTTTACGTCCATCTAAGGAGCTCTTAAAGGGACAGCCTCAAAATGAGTCTAGATTTAATACAACCCATTAATACGAGCTATTTTTGGAGTTGCTTCTTTTCAGGAGCATTGCAAGCTTCTCTGGCACACACAGCTGCCTGAGCTGGTCACTACACAGTCACCAGAGTGGGCAAGAAACTCATCCTGTGCTGTGCCCTCCTGGACAAACAAGCCCTTCCTGGACTCCAGCCTTTGCTTTATATTCACCCAGAGAGGCAGATGCTCTAGTGTGAGCCATCCCCGGTGACAGCCAGATGTGATTCCCCACAAGGCAGCCAGGAGTCCAGACTATCAATCAGGGGGACTTGAGTTTCAATCCCATCTGCTGCCACCTTCTAACTCTCTGGTGTTGGGCAATACTTAACTTCTCTATGCCACACCTTCCTCATCCATAAAGTGGAACGATTCCCCTTCCCTGCAAGGGCTACGGTGCAGATTCAATGAGCTAATGTCTCTGACATGTTAAGGCAGTGCCTGCACCCAGCAACCATTTCCTGACTTCTTCCTGTTGCTGTTATAACGATTAATAACCAGTTCGGCCAACCGAGGTCAGTTTTGTGTAAAATTATCAGATCATCACACAGAGAGTTATTTGGAAAAACTACTTTTGCATTCTCTTCCCTATTTATAATCTTTTGAAAAGTGTTTAAACAAAGTTTATTCAATTTGCTTGGCCTTTCTTAGAAAATGTTTCTCACACTAAAGCCTTTTGTCTTAACTTTCTATTTTAATTGTGCAGGATTAAACTCTGGCATAATGATTTGCACTAACCTCTCGAAAGATGGGTTTTTGAGGTAACATTATATAAATTTCAGATGGGTGGGGGCAATTACTAATGGGTATGGTTTTTGGGGAAGGGTAATGAAAATGGTCTAAAATTGATTGTGATGATGGTTGCACAACTCTGTGAATATACTAAAAGTCATTGAGTTGTTCACTGTAAGTGGGTGAATTGTATGCTATGCAAATTATATCTAAATAAAATTGTTAAAAAAAAAAAAAAAAAAGAAAATGCTTCTCAGTTTTACTCAGCTGTGATGCTACAAGACTGGGCTTGATTGTAAAATGCAGAAGCTATACCTGTAGCTGGATAATGGTGTAAAATAGAAATTAAAAAAAAAATTCCCTAAAATCAAACATCAATAGAGAATAACTAACCAGGTTAGTAAAACCCCATCTTTCTACATCTTAGAAATATATGGTTATCATCTTTCACTCTGAAAAATGTTAGATCACATCCTCTATTCCCTATATTTTTTCTATGGGGGTTTTGAAGAAAACATTTGTTCTCTCTTGTTCTAGCTTCTACCTAACAACTAATTAAAAGTACTGGAGTGGAAAGTTTACTAAGAACCTTTTGGTATTGGGCCACACAGCTATGGCAGGATCAGAGACCCAAAGCTCCCCATTTAAGGTATAACAATTATTCTCCATAGACGAGAGGGTTAAAAAACCAACTGCTTTAGGGCATTTGGGATAAGTAGTAATATTTATAGGAGAATATTCAACATACCAAGTCAATGCACTATGTGAATTATTCCAAGCAAAAGCTGTAACTATGATTTTAGTGAATTACACAGGAAATTATGTATTAATTTCTTACTACAAACTCAAGTGGGAAAAAAGCTAACTTAATTATCTCCACAAAGTCTAGTAAATAATTCTGCAATTCATAATTTTCACTGATTAGTCTTGGACCGCTCAGGATTTTTCCAAATTAGTAAAGTTTTATACTAAAAATAAGTTTATTCTTCTTAAAGTGAATTTAAGCAGAATTTTGTGGTGAAGTATATAATAAATTAGGCATGCTCTTAAGGTAGTTATGGAGCAAAAGATCATTTTCTTCCACTGTGGGAAAAGCTTGATCATTAAAGGAAATAAGGCCACATCCCTCTTACTTTCGGGGCTTGCAGAACTCCCCCTCTCCTGGGTCAGGTACACAGCACTCATACCTGCAGAAGGTTCTGAATTTCAGGGGAGGAGCCAGGTTTTGGCAGTTTGGTGCCTTTTCCAGAGTGAAGTCCACTCACCAGCTTTCCCCGCTGCTGGGCTGACCTGGTTTCTCGCAAGGTGTACACGTCTCCGCAGACGGAGATCTCACGCCAGACCCCAGGCTGGGACTCCTCAGTGAAGCCCCCTCGTGGGTGCATCACCAGCACGCCGTTGGTAGTGAGCCCATCCATGTGGCCGTCGGGGTTTTTCCATTTTGCTGCCTTTTCCTGGAGAGCATACCACAGAACAGAAAAAGCATGCTCATCCTTCAGTGCAAAATGAAGGCATTCTAGAATCTCTCTGAAATACTGGGTAGGGGCAGAGGGGAGGAAAGGGATGAATTTTCATTTTCTATTTAAAGCTAATAATCAGAAGGATAAAATACACAATTAGTCCAACGATATGAAAGAAGTGCTAAAGTGGATGAACGACTGATCACCGGCTACACGATATTTGTCTCGGGAGCTTAAATGCCCGGGCCTCTCTCTGAGAGTCTTTTTTAAAACCCTGGGTAACTCCAGGAATCTGGTATGTATTCTTCAGTTCTATTCATGCAGTGCTTTCATCCGATTATTTAAACATGCTTTATATGAACTCATTATCAGGGAAGCATGCAGAGGAAGAGGGAAAAAACAGAATTTTTATTAAACACACAAAATTCCAAAAAATGTTCAGTCAACAAGTTGTGGCCACTATGTTTTCACACAAATTGGTGTTTCTATCCTCAAAGGTGGGAAGGCACAAGCAACCCGATGCGCCGGCAGGACAGACACTCTCGCCCGCCTGCACCACAGCAACTTCTCTCCTTTCTTGGGGACAGAGCCAGATACTGTTCACGTGACTCAGGGGTAAATCCTGGTTCAGACTCAGTCCCGTTGCCGATGACTGGTTTAGGGGAGGACAGATGACTGAGCACTGGTCAATGAGACAGGGCTGAGTCTCCTGGGAGGCTTCCTGGAAAGGTTTCTCTGCTCTAAAAAGAGACGAGGCAGAAACGGTGCCTGACTGCCCCTTCAGCTGGAAGTTGTCGTGCAGCAGGAGGTGAGTGGCAGTGCAGGAGCCCCCTCCCACCCACGAGAAGACCTCGCCCTGGGGAAGCTGATGCACCAGAGAGGCAGAGAGCGAGACAGCAAGAACCTGGTTCCCCGGATGTCAGAGAACCCCCGAATTAACCACCCCCGCAGCTGACCTTCCTTGGCGATTCTTGTAACTGGGAGAATACATTTCTATTATTATTTAGGCCATTTTGAGTGTTTTTTTTTTTTTCCTGCAAAAATACCCTGATTCAAAAGGAACTATATTAAATCTGGATATCCACTAAAACTTTTGGGTTTCATTTACCTGGAAACCCTACAAAGGCAGAGACTTTTAATCTGTTTTGTTCTCTGTAATATGACATCTATAATACCCAATACAGAACACAGCAAACACCCAATAAAAATGTTTGAATGAACGAATGAATAACTAACATTTTCCTTTGAACCCTAATTTATCTAGATTTGACCATTTATTTTTCTCTCTGAAATAGACCCCCTTAAATCTACCATATATACATTATGTACAACGTTAATATATATACTTCAAAAAAGTAATTACTGTGCAAATCATAATATAGCAAATATAACAAATAATAAGCAATGACTTAACTATTGTCAGATTTTTAATAACAGCTTTTCAAACTGACCATCTGAAAACTAAAATCTCAAAACCTAACTGGAGGCACTGTGTGAAGCAAATTTTTTGGCCATAATTAAATGTTATACGTGATAACAATGGGTGTTTCTCTTGAAACAATGTACTTATTAATAGTACTTACTCCAAGAAATATGTTTTTGGAAGAGTCGAATCCGGCTGCAAATATCCGTGCCGTGTACGGCTCGTTCCGGTCACAGACGATCCTGCAGGCAAACCTGGAGATGGTGCTCTGTGTAATCTGCGCCTCGTCGTTGTTCTGACCGCCTGAAATTGTGTCTGTCACCACGAAGTCGATAGGGCTTTCTGTTGATCGGCCCACCTAAATAAATCAAATATATTTGTGATTCACTTGAAAAAGATCATGTCACCATATTTTGTTCACTCAGGTTCCCTTTAACATTCATTATCTCTGCTCTGAAGGTCAGAATTTAATTAACAATATTTTCATTTCTGCTCCTTTCTTGTTGAACTAAGGGAGATATTATGGTAACCAACCATCAGATTTTCAGTGTTAAGAGAAAAGCTCAATTTTCTGTTCTTGAGGAAAAGAGACCTTACCCCAAACAGACTTTATCTCTTGGATCAAGTAGAAACATTACTTTGACAGCAAACCTTGTTTTTTTTTGGTATTTCCAGGTGGAAAAAAGCAAGATTTTAAAGGAAGCCAACAAACAAAGGAGCTCCTGCCCTGACTCTTGCCCAGCTCCAGTGACTGGCTTCCCATGGAGTGAGTCCACCAGTGACTGAGAGCACAGAGGAGAAGAGCCCTAACCAGACAGAAACCACCGGGTGTACATGTGAACAACGTAAGCGCCATAACAAAGTTTGGGATGCAGTCAAACGAAAGATTCAAAAAGCTGGTCTTAACATTTCAATTTTGGATTTTAAAAAACTCTCTTGGAAAAGTCTAAAAAGTTGCCAATACTATTATATTGGCTTACTTTCCTTGGTAAGTTTAAATGCTGCCAGAAAGAAAACACATTATTAGGAAGATCTTGGAGTTCTGAGAAAGCTTTTCACATTCAATAAATCCAGATAAGACAAGGACTGCTCTGTCCTGTGAACTGGGAAGAGGGACGTATTTGTTTAGAAATAAGGAGGTCCTCAAGACAGAATATTAAAACGTTTACGGCATGATGTTCTGTAAATCTCTAACTAGAAAACAATGACAAACATATATGCCAGAGACTTCTCAAATTAAAATCATCTACATGTGAACTAAGCATTTCTCACTAAATATGATATTAATGTTCTCTCCTAACAACAGTGACTTGGATTCTGAAGCTGCCAATGGGAGGAACACACAGAGGCCCCAGATGTGTAGATATAAGGCCCCCAAAGTCAATTTCTCAGGTATCTTTAATCTGATCTCAAAATTCTATCTAGAACATAAGCAATGTAGTACATTTTTTATCCAAATGAATAAAAGTGGGAAAAAACATATATCTGTCTATCTTGTATAATTTAGCTCTGCTCGCTTCCTGGAACAATATTATTCAATTTCTTTTGTAAATCTCACATTCTCATGCATAGACTATCTTTGTAAAACCAACAGACAACAGACATCTATTTTCTCTTGTTTTTCACACCCTTAATTTCTTGTCCTAATGAAATGTGCCTGGAATAAACTCAATTGCTGGGTTCACTGAAGCTCATCAACTTGAATAGATGTATATTGCCTGAATGTATGCATTTCAGGTTTAGAAAACAAATAACTTGTTAAAAAATGCAACATGAAATCTAAATTACAGATATTATACAATCATATCATACATTTCATCTTTCTAAAGTTGCAGAATCCTCCCTCTGCCAGATTCATTTAAAAGCCAGGTGTATAATTCAGAAGCTCTACTGATTCAGACCACTCTAATTTTTTTAAAAAAGCTTTTTGTTTTCAGATTTACTCTCTTAGCTACTTTCAAGTATATAATACAGTATTATCAACTATAATCACATGGCATACATTAGACCCCCAGAAGTTATTCATCTTACAGCTAAAAGTTCGCACCCTCTGAACAACAACTCCCCACTTCCCCCACCCCTCAGCCTCAACAACCACCTTTCCTGTCTCTGTTTCTATGATTTACCTTTTTAGATTCCACATAGAAGTGATATCATATAGTATGTCTTTCTCTGACTTAATTTCATTTTAAAAAGCTTTTTTTTTAAATTAGAAAAGTAACAATTACTTATTGAAAAATATTTCACAAATACAGGAAAGTTTAAAGGAGAAAATAGAGGCTACTCCAAACTCAGGAACAAACCCATGTGGAACCTCTATTCCCATGAAGCCTACAAGTGAAATGTAAAAGTTCTAAAATTTCCTGGTCACCCACACAAAACCCTGTGCTCTCACAACGACACAGCCTCTGTCCTAATTGCTGTTGCCCGCCATGGAAGAGGGCAGAGACTTTTCAAGCTCTGTTATAAGCTCAAAGCTAAAACCATGCTCTGGCAGAATGTCACACAACTGCTCCTTGTCTAGAGAAATTACTCTTTTCTAGAAGGGCCACATTCTGAGTTCATCCCAATATATTAAATTAATGTCTTGATGAATTAACTGAAATTGAATGTAAAGCATGACATTTTATTCCAACTGGAACATAGTGCTAGGATCAATTATTCCATGTCATGATACTTATCTGACAGGTCATATAAGATTTGCTATCAATGCACTTCCATTTAAATCTAACCTGTAGAGTACCAGTATAATTTTACACTTTAGGACACAAACCTCATGTTGCTTTTGCCAGGAAAAAATCTAAGCCACTTTCCTACTGAAAACTTACCCAGTGTGGAAAACTTGGAGCCTGTTCTTTCTTTTGACTATTGGATCTACTCTACATTATTTTAAGGGCAGTCACGCAGACAAGGCAAGATGCTTCTGAATTTCCTCTGATTCTCATGTAGTGCTGATATTCGTACAACAGCCATAGGGAGAATTTTACTCCCTACTACTGTCAGTTAGACACAGCATCATTTGGCACTTTAAACTTTATATATATGAGACAAGTTTGGGTTTGCCTGGCTGTCAGCAGAAGTCAGTACGGGTAAGGTGGTACTGAAGTACCTGGAAGGCCTCCTTCACCTTTCCTGGGCCAATCCTGCCCACATCCCTGCATCTGTAACCTTACTGTCTGGCTTCCCTCATACGACAAGGATGAACTGTCGCTGCTCCTATCCCAGACCAATCTCTCCGGGGAAGCCTGAGGTCCCAATATTCTCCCCTTCCTAGGGATTCTGCTCCCGCTATCACCCCCTCTCTCCCAAACCATCGACTTCTCTCTTAATACCGGATCATGACCTCAGCTCTCAAACACATTCTGGAACCTCTCAAACTCTGTCACTTGGTGGTAAAGGACCAGTTTTTTGTCTGCTTGTTTTTTAAATTTTAGCTTGTCAGGAATACCTTTTAAAAACTACAATAAAAATGAGAATTATAAAAACAATCATCTGCTTGGATGTTGCAGGGGGGCCAAACTGCCATAAAAGTTTCCAAACGCCTCCTCTCAATTCCCACTCCCCTCATTCTGCACTGTGAACATTTTGCTGCTCAGCTGAGCACTGTGTGAGCAGCACTCTTCTAGACTAGTCTCTCATCTTTAAAAACACTTTCCATTGCCTGCAAGCAACCCTCAAGCTACAGCCCCACTTCTCTGACTCACTTAACAGCAATACTTCTTGAAAAGCCTGTCACTAGTTACTACCTCCATTTCCTTACTCATCCCCTGAGCTTCCCTCCTCCACCCACTCCAGCCGAGCTGCCCTCCCCAAGGCTCTACTGAAACCACCGCTGGCTGAGGTTTCCAGGCTTACAATTAGCCAGCATGTCCTAGGGCATCCGTACCTAGTATAAAATCACGGAACCCTTCCAGGAGAGTTGGTAAATAGCCCCTTCCTTCCCTTTCCGTTCTCTCCCCTAGATAATCTCATCAAATCCCATTTATTAGACAAAAAGCCCTGATCTCTCCCCCAAGTTTCAGACTGGCACACCCAATCTCCACTTGATGTCTAATAAGCACCTCAAATGTAACACCATCCAAACAGAACCCAGATCCCCCTTTAACCCCTAGATTCCCTATGTCAATGAATGGCATCCTATCTGCTCAAGCTAAAAATCAACACCCAAGAATCATCCTTGATTCTTTACTTCCCTCCACACCCACGCTGAACCTCATGTAAATCCTTCAACTCTACCTCCAAACACATCTTCAGTCCTTCTCCTTTCCCCACCTTGGTTCCCATTACATCAACTCTTATTTGGATTGCATTACGACTGTAGCCTCCAAACTGGTCTCTCTGATTTCACACTTGCCTCCTAGATTCTTCTCCAGACAGTAACTGGAGATATCTTACAAAAATATAAATTAGATTATACCTCTCCCCTGCTTAAAATCCTCCAACAGCTTCCCAAAACTCCTACAATAAACCCAAACTGTCTACCTGGCTTACGGGCCCCACCCCTCTCAGCCTCTGCCTGCCTCTCCAGGCTCAATCTCACTTCACTTCCCTCCTCCATTCTGCTCCAGCCTGGGGCCTGTGTACTCGCTGCTCCCTCTGTCTGGAATGCTTGCTTTTTCGTGGTCTGTCTGCCTCCTCTAGAACATAGGCTCCATAAGAGGTAAGCCTGGCTGTCCATCCTCAGGACCTAGATGAGCATCTGACACATGGTAGGTGCTCCAGAAATGAAACTGATGAATAGAGGATTACGACAGCGAGCTTGGACTGTGAGACACACACACACACACACACACACACACACACAGACACATGGGCCATGTTTTAAGGAATAATAACTATTGAAAAAAATGTAGATTTTTTTAACACTTTTAACTGTAGATGCTATTTAAGATGCTAATTAATAGATGCTAATTAAGTGTTACCATCTAAAATGACTATCACCCAACTAAATTAAAAACCAACCAAACAAAACCCCCAAACATAAGGCACTGCAGCACCCATCCAGGTTTGAAGACTATGAAACCGAGAAATTAGAGGAAACAAGACCACCGAGCACTGGCTTCGGGACGTGGCCAACGTCCTACCCCCCGATCAGAAGTGGGACTTGGTAAGACACTTCATCTCTTCTTTTGGTTCTTTCATAAACTATTTAATCTTTATATTCTACTTTCACAATAGCTACACTCTTTTCTCTTTCTTTTCCTTACTTATCTCATTCTAGAAAATAATTACAAAAATCTTATTCTGATTATACTAACTCAGACTTTCTCACACTTAATCCATCCCTTAAATTCAGACCTAGTTTTTTTCCCTTGGGCAATAAAATGTCCAAGTTGTGAGCCTGCGGGGTCTGATTCCACCGTGGGAAAGGCAGCACGAGGCCCTTTTTTAGTTCCTTCTGATGTCTGCTTTTAAATGCTCAATTAGCCTAGAAATCACTTTAATAGGTAACGGCTAAAATGAACACTAAGGTCTATACTTGAAAAATATGAATGCTGCAGTGCTCTCTGCTCAGTGATTCCCGTCAGCTGTAGGTTTTGGACACAGAAACATGTTAAAATGAGGTAAAAATTAAAACAAACTTGATTTTTCAGGGCCTTCTAATTGTTGCTTATTCTACTCTGCTTAGAGTGATCTGGCATAATACTCCAACACGTCCAGTTAGTCTGCAAATGGAATTGGATTATTTTAGTAAAAATGATAAACATGTTATGTTTTAAGTCTATAAATTCTTGCTTGAATTATCACGCTTTATTTAAAGAAGTTGAGTTGGTACTTGTAGAGCATGTAGAACTCAGGAGATGTAAATCTTAATTCTGCCACTAATGCCTTTTCTGACCCTAGTTTAAGTTACTTTTCCTTTCAAAGACCCAGATTTCTCAGCTATGAAATTAAGGGGTTAGTATAATATAAATCAGTATTTCTCAGAGTGTGGTCTATGAACCTCTGAGGGTCCCTGAGACCTTTTCAAGGAGCCCATGAAGCCAAAATAGCTTCCACAGTAACACGAAGATGCCATCTGCCTTCTCCCTTCTGCTGACGTTTGCTCTGATGGCACTGAAGTGATGACATGCTTCAGCAGGAATCAAAGCAGTGTCACCAAACTGTACCAGTGGTCACTGCATTCTTCATTGCCTTGCACCTGCAGCTAAAAAAGTTAATGTCAATTTCACTTAAGTATGCTGTTGATAAAGCAATAAAAAATTATTAATTTTATTAAATCTTGAGTCTTTTAATATTCTGTGTGATGAAACGGGAATTATGCAGGAGGCACTTAGAAGTTCATAACAGTATAAAGGTTCCTCAAAAAATTAATAATAGGGACCGGTTCAGTGGTTAAGTTCCCGTGCTCTGCTTTGGCGGCGTGGGGTTCACCGGTGCGGATCCTGGGCGCGGACTTGCGCACCGCTCATCAAGCCATGCTGAGGCTGCGTCCCACATAGAGCAACCAGAAGGATGTACAACTATGACATGCAACTATCTACTGGGGCTTTGAGGAGGGAAGAAAAAGGAGGTAGATTCGCAACAGATGTCAGCTTAGGGCCAATCTTCCTCAAAAAAAAGATTACAAAAAAAAATGAATAATAAAACTACCATGTGATCCAGCAATCCTACTTCTGGGTATTTAAACGAACTGAAAAAAATCAGGATCTTGAAGCAAGGTCTGCCCGCCTCCCCCATGTTCACTGAAGCATTATTCACAATAGCCAAGATATGGAAACAATCCATCAAGGGATGAATAGATAAAGAAAATGTGGCCTATACATACAATGGAATATTATTCAGCTTTAAAAAGGAAGGAAATCCTGCAACATGCGACGACATGGATGAACCTAGAGGACATTATGCTAAGTGAAATATGCCAGTCACAGAAGGACAAAGAATGCACGATTCCAGTTATCTGAGATATCTAAAATAGTCAAACTCATAGAGTAGAACAGTGGCTGTCAGGGGCTGAGGGGAGAGGGAGTGGTTGTCCCAGTGGTATAAAGTGTCAGTTCAGCAAGAAGAAGACATTCTAGAGATCTGCTGTACAACAGTGTGCCAATCGTTGACAACACTCTACTGTGCACCTAATTTGTCAACAGGGTAGATTTCATGTTGCGTTCTTACCACAAAAAAAAACAGTTAATAACAGGTAGCTGAAAAAACCCAGCTAAATCTTTAATTCAACCTGCATTTGCAGAAATGAGAAGGAAGAAAGTGAACAATTTGAGCAGAATGTGACTGTACAATAGTGAAGAATACACTATTTATGTCACAGCATGTCACTAAAGAATACCACATGAAATTACAGGTGCCATCAAAGTAAGTCGTTGGTTTAAAGTGGTAAAAAATGCACCACCACCAACTGAAAATATTCTTGATTCACGTTTTTAGTATTGAGAATCCTCTCTCTCTATGTAAAATAGTAGCAAAAAATCTTATAAATTGAAGCTGTATAATTTTGGAAAGTACTAAAGAAAAGAAATTATGAAGAAGTCCCATAAAAATATTGACGACAAAGTATATGCATATACTTATTTAAAAGAGATTTTCTTGGCAGAATGAGAAGAAAAGATATTCAGAAGACTATATAATGAAATGTCATGGAGAGTACAACCACTGCTAATATTTTGTCTAAATGTGATGAATCTTACTTTTGAGTTCAAACTGGCACCTAAGTAACTATGTCTATATCTATGACTATGACTCTACCTATCTAGGATTGTTTAGTTTTTTTAAAAATAGTTAACGCATTCACATGGTTCAAAAATCAAAAAGTGTGAAATAGCTCCCTGCATACCACCTGCCAGTCCCCTTCCTCACAAAGGCAACTGCTTTATTAACATCTTGTTTATCCTTTTGGGGATTTTTAATGCATATAAGCATTATTTAAATTATTCAACAATACTAAGTTAATAATTAATCTACTATTTAGTATTTAATTTATTAACATTTAACATTAAGTAATCTTAATTGAATATAATACTATCAATGGCTCAATATATTTAATAATATTAATATTTAATTCATTAAATATGTTTGGAGCTCTTTTCGTGTCTGTACATAGAGCTTTTTCTTGTTCTGTTTTACAGCCTTGGACCCCTCAACTGGACAGCAGTACTCGAATTTACTGAACTGGTCCCCTACTAAAGGACATTTAGGTTGTTTGTGATCTTTTGCTATTAAGCAATGCTTCAAGCAATAACTTGCTACAAATGTCATTTTGCAGGTTATGTAGGTATCTCTGGGGTAAATCTCTGGGGAGAGAAGAGCTGAGTCAGAGAGGGTAGGCATTTTGTATTTTTCATAGGTATTTCCAAATTACTGCCCCACAGAGGTCACACCAATTCACAGGATATAGGCTAGTGTCTGCTTCCCCCACATCGCTGACAAAACCTTTTGGATTTCTGCCAACCTGATAAGTGAAAAATGATATCTCTGTGTGATTTCAATTCATATTTCTCTTTTTATAAGCAAGGGTCACCTTATTTTTTTATTTTCAAGAGCCATTTAGATCCTCTATATCATGATGTCAGTTTCTACGACACCTTTTTGGCATTTGTTTCAACATCATTTATTTAATACTTCAACTCTCCATCTAGAAATGCAAAGGCTCATCATTCCCAATTCATTTGCTTTTTTCCTTTATTAGCCTTAATTTTAATTTTATGTTGTTTCTAAAGTACCACATCTTGGATATATTAATTCTCTTCTTTTTAAATTAATTGATGATTTTTTTTCCTTTATTACTTCCTTCTGCTTTCTTTTGATGTATTTCTGGACTTTCTGTTGCATATCACTAAAACTATTTCTGAACCTATCCTATACTTTCTTAATTACTGTCAATTTCTGAAAGGAACGTTTTGAGATAAATGTTTAATTCCTTTATTTCCTTCCCTCTAAATAATGAAAGCACTTGAGGCTTTACATTTTCTTCTGAGTACGACGTCAGTCACATCTCATGAGTTTTGCTATATAATGTTTCCATAGTTATTTTTTTTTAAAGCCCATAATTGTAGTTTTGATGTCCTCTTTGACTCAAGTGTTATTTAGGAAGTATTTTGATCATGTTGGCTTTTAAAAGTGGCTGGCTATAAAAATTTTTATTCCTTATTATTAAAAGTTATTAAAGTCTGTTTTTATTGTATTGAGATCTGAGAATGCAGGCTTGATAACTTCTTTTTGTAATTTCAGAATTACATTTTCTCTTAGTCTTTAAAAAACCAAACAGAAATAATTTTTATATTATTCCCACCTCTTTCCCCTTGGACATCACCAAACACTACTGTGCTAGAAGTTCTGATTACATGTCAAAATATAGAATTGAAGGAAAAATGCACTGAAATTTCTATTAAAAAAGAAAGCTGTTACCTGAAACATATCCGTATCTTTGTCATGTGTATACTCGACCACCACAGTCTGATTCCTTGACAGAGTGTATGAAATACTGTGTTGACCTTTGCAGCTTATAGCCTAATAATAAAATAAAAATATAAAAAAAATTCATTAAAATTTCATTTCAACAACTTAACCACAATTCTGTTTGTAGTTAAGAGATATCATTCTACCAGCAAAACCCAACACAAGCTGGCATTTTCCTAATGATCAGACCCTGTCCCTGTGCTGTGCCCTGACTTACAGAGGAGCTAACAGTCACAATTCTGGTTTTACCGAATATTCTACCTTAATGTGAACAAAGTTTTATTTAAGTCAAATCAAAGTTAATTTACTAGTCCACAAGACTTGATTTAATCCTACTCCTGGAAAACCATATATTTTCTCCATGTTACCTTAACTCAGTGATAGAATTTTTAGACTAATATGATTTATTTAAAGTTTTAAAATTTATTTCACACTACAACAGTAAGTCAATAACATTGTACTATCATATTTTTTCCAAGTGATAGAGATAATAAGCATAGTAAGAGAATCATTGAAAAAAACCGTCGATGTTCTAAAAGGATTTCTGTATAATACGTCCTATTCTAACCAAGGATAATCATACATAAACTCTGTTCTACATCTCATTTAAATTTTGCATAAGGAGTTGCTTAGCCCAGATATTTATTGAATTAATAAATAAGGTAGCTAAGTTAGTTTTTTCTATTTCTAGACTAGACTAAAGCTAATTATCTTTTCCAAAGAATCTAGAAACCAGTAATACGATAGAAAATATTGTTATTTTCTCCATAATGCTATATTGGAACACATCTTAAGTTGTAGTCACATAGTTTTAACTTTTCAAATTAACAAAGAAGCTTATTTAAATTGTACTCCAAATTATTTCAATTACATTTTATCCATTCTACTTTAACCTAACTTATCTTCATTTCCATTCTTTTACATTAAGAATAATAAATAAAACTTGAATAAGCCTATCTATTAAACATTTATTGAATAGTGGCACTTAATGAAGACCAAGAAACCATTTGGAAGTAGCTGGACATATATAGCACATTAATGAAAATGCACTCTGAACCTTTGTATTTGACTAATATAATTGCTTAGAGCAATACATAGTACAACATTCCAAATCAATTTTGAAGTTTACCTGGTTAATCTCATGGTTATTTAATCATCTGCCCTGAGGAACTTCATGATTGAACTGATGTTTTGTTGCATGTGCCTCAACAAAGTACTAGAAATAATAATTTCGATATTTAATATGATTAGGAATGCAAAAAATACTTCTTAGATTACTCAACTCCATTGACAAATATAATCTTCAATGTTCATTGGTCTGCATCAGATAAATTCAATGGTATTGATATGTGACATTTTTTGAAAGCCAAATTAATTAAGAACTATTTTCAATTTAAGATAAACGGATGTTTATCTTTACATGTAAACAAAAAAATCCACTTTAAGAAAAATAATTTTATTAAACTCAAACTTATAAAACTAATAATCAAGGGTGATTATTTATAAAATAATTTATTTTAGGGTTCCTTAAAAAGTGTCTATTGCATTTAAAATATTCAGTTTACAGATACATCAACTCAAACACAACTTTCTCAGCACACACACATTACATAAAATAAGAATGTCCGTAGTTTCACAATTATCTGCAAAATACGGAGCTAAGTGTCATAACAGAACACCTTTTAAAAAGTTATACATTTTCATATGATGGTACCTTTTTAAGCACAGTGTTTCTCAAATTTCCACCAAAGTTGCCTTAAATAGAAGAAAGTTACCTGAACTCCCGGAGACATAGGGAGAGTGGCTCTAAAGTGAAGTTTCCCATGCTTAAAACATCTTATCTTGAAATTATTATAAATTTTGTGTTCTATTCCATAACATGCTGGCTAGTTTTAACATTTGAACATTTCCAAATTTGCTGGGAAATCGATGCCCCAGGAAGACTTGCTTAGTTCACCCCATGACCTATACAGCTCTGGGGGCCCCAGACACTTCCATGCCACTCTGGGAGGCACCAGAAACAGTCATTTTATGGGTCTGAAGTTGTTACTGGACCCAATTCTTCTAAGGTGCTTTATTTTAAAACTATCCTTGTGATTCAAACTATTAAAAGCCTATGCAACACATGAAAAAGGCTATTATTGATAGGGAAAGTGGTGCCAACCTGGGAACTGCCCACGAGAGAGGGGAATACAAGTTCCAGGCCATCCCCTGCCTGGCTACCCTCAACCGGGAAGAAAGCGCAGGGACTCAGAGGCCTGGAACCCTGATCCAGGACATCTTGAATGCTGAGCCCATTTAAAGAAAATTTACAATTTCAAACTTCTGCCAGTTTGTTATGTAGCTAAACGTGAATGGCCAGGGCAAATGCTTTTGGGTTAGGAAAACATTTTTTCTGAGACTTTTTGATTAAGGAAGTCCCTGCCAAGGGCTATGCTCTGGATGCCCCTGGATTTGAAGACGGGGAAGTGGGAAAAGAATTCTGCTGGGAGAAACAAGTCCCAGAGGCGGTGAGTGCTCTGCGCCAGCAGGCAATGCACCCTCTGCAGCAGGCACGGCCAAGGAACCTCAGAATTCCTGTGATGGCCACTCTAAGACGCTTCCAGTTCTGGCGGTGATTTCCCTGTATTAGTGCTAAGCCAGGAGGGGAGGCCAGTCTGTCAGGGGCCCTGAGTGCTGGTGCCCTGGGGCCCAAACAGGCTGCACCCACAGGGAGAAGCACGGTGATGAGCTGGCCCCAGAAGCCTGGATTTAAGCCAGGACTGGGATTTGGAGCAAACGGTGGCAGTCAAAACCAGGACAGCTCAGGCCACTACTGGGATCCTCAGAAATAAATGGACAGGTGTTACCTCCCTTGATTACATGAATTACATGATCTTGTTTGCAAACTGAAGTCTAGAGTAGAGCCAGATTTAGGTGGTTGGGGCAAGTTAAGAGGAGACTTTAACCTTGAAATCAATTTGTGCTTTCTTTCTGGCAAGTATAAGGCATTAAGCTTCTTTTTTGTTGGTTAGAAGTATCAATTTTTCAACAATACTTTTTAACATTTAAAATATGACTTTCAGAAATATAGCTTTTAGTAAATTATAGATTCACTGACTTGAGTCAATCATTTCAGGTATTTTGGAATAAAAATTTCGTCAAGGCACCAAGTTGTTTTGAGATCTCTTTCTGAAAAATGGGAAAGGAGAGTGGGTGAGGCCTTCTCTTCACACGCACTGTAATTTAGTTCAAACGCAATTACTGTAACACGATATGCCTTTACTACAACAATTCAACTTTGGAAACTAAGCGCTTTAAAATTGTAAGGAAAAACAGCCCACCAGCTTGCCTGGAAGACTACTGATTTCCTGTCTCCACTCTTCTACTGTGATGAGAAGGCAGGTTGCTGACTGCCCCTCACAACACTGTGCCAGCCTCAAGGGCAGGCCTGGCCTTATCTACTCTTCCCTCGCCAGCACCAAGGGAGAGGGCATGATGGACATTCAATGGCTGTCAGGTGAATGAAGGAACGGCTACACATACAAGATGAGACTTATAGCTTCTTTCCTCAGGTCTTCCCCTTCTCGCCTCTACTTTTCACTAGCAGAGGTATTAAAAGTGACATTCTCAGCTCAAATTTATTACAAGTGTGAATTTTATCAGGTTAAAAATATCACAATGAGGCAAGTACAGATTAGACCATTATGATTACAGATCTACAGAATAAAGGATTCCAACTTGATCCAGCTTAAGAAGTTAAGCACTACTCTGCAATTCCAGAGGCCCAAACCAGGCCCTTTGTGAGCCAAGACAGTTTCTTCTCAGCCGAGGATCTGTATTTTCTTAGTTTTACTCTACTTCTGTCTCGGGCTCAGCTCAGCTCACCATCCTGTACCGTTCAGGGGAACAGTTAGAACTGACTGTCCTGGTTCAACTTAAACTAAATGTCAGGGAGTCCTCTGAGCCTCCAGACTAGAGTGAACATGGTTCATAACGTTTACGGGATCTTCTTCCTTTTATAACCTGCATGCACGTACATAAAGGCACTCATAAAGATATATAGTATATAATGATACCAGGAAGGCAATCCTGCAAGATGCATAACAGGACGGATGCATATCTTCACGGCAGCCAAAGAGCTTTCATTCAAATTGTACAAGTATAAGGGAAATAATCAAATCTTTTATTTGTTAAGAAGCAGTGGGGTTAGCTCTCAATCTAAAAGGGAAAAAGCTCACTGAGAAACTAACTGGTTTCTAGAAAATATTAATTTATTATAGTTATGATTTTGCCCATTTAATTCAAGCTGTATAAGGGTGCTAAGCTGGCCTTTATCAACTGTGTAGGGACAGAAAATAGCACTCATCACCATGACAGACATCGTTAGTTACCTACCCACCGCCCTTCTCCCTGCTAGCTGAGCTGGCCTCCCATGAAGCAGCCTGAAAATGCCAATACTAGCTCTCTGGTCTCCTCTGAGGCTGCACATGAAGTCTGACCCGATCCTGACCAATGGCACTCAGGAGAAGTCTGGTGTGGAGCTCCTAGGGATAGGAGACATCAAGAGAGATTCTTTACTTTCTCTGTTAATAAGAAAGGAATGTGATGTTTGGAGTTGAGGTGGCCATCTCACAACATGAGAGGAGGCTCAAAAGACTCAAAGCAGCAGACTGAGCCCTGACATCTCTGTGTTGAACCAAATCTGGAACTACCTGTCTCCAGACTTGTGTGAGAAAAATGAGGGTTTTAGGCTGCTTTTGGTTGGGTATATTGTTACTTGCAGTCTAAAGCATCATTTTTTTCTTCTCCTGAGTTTTCTATTTCAGTCAATAGCACAACCATATTCCCAATCACTCAAACTTAAAAGCTTCATGTCATCTCTGAGCCCTCTTGTGCCACTACAAGTGGCATATACAATTAGCATTATTACCATCATACTTAATCTAATAGCAAATCAGAGCCAGGATCACGGATTTTATTTTATTAAGGCAAAAATCAAATACAAAGTAGAACAAACAATGTATAACATTTCACTTTTTCTTCTCAAAATACAAAGTAGTTGTTGGGCA